TGTGATCTTAAAGGAGACTGACCACTTGTTCCCTCTCTGACTGCAAAGAGAGGGCAGAATTTAAAGGAAGTTAGGTGAAATCATCGTAATGCAATTTAAACACTTGTTCTAAAAATAAGACTAGTAGGAATAATAGTAAATAATACTGTGGCAAAACATATTTATGATCAGTAAGTCATCCATTGGGTTAAATGGTACTCCCTCACAACATACTGGGTGATGTTGGCATTGTAACCGTTTTGATATGGCAGAGAATGGCATCTGCCTTTAATTATAGCCAAGGGTCAAAATATTTTAAAGGGACAATTTATGGCAAGAATTGACTGCAGTCAAATTGAGCAAGGCCATTTTCTTATATGAATATATGGTATATTACTTTGGTCTGATTTGGACATTTCTCACCCACACAGGCTTGCTTTCACACAGATAGAAATTCTTCGGAACTACTGTGCATTTGCATTTCACTCTGTCTTGCAAGGGACTGCTTCTCCAGCACTTGTAAACAGTGAAGAAGTTAGAAGGTTTTCCAAATGTTTAAGCAATGGACTGATATTTTGGAAGTCGTTTTACTTACAAAGAAGACGCTCAGATAAAATGGCAAAAACTAGAAACTAGTTTGAAAACTGTCTGCTTGTGCACTGAAAGCAGAGTGAGAACGTTAAAAGAAAAAGAGAGGTAACGGGGAAATGTCTCTCACATGTGCAGGCATGCACACTCACTGTATCATTTATACTTTCGTATCTAGCAGTGTTGGCATGTGACATCAATTATACCGCTAAAATGTTTTCATAACCAAAACGAATGATTGATTTAAGTATGCAAATAAGTAGGTTATAAGAATCTTCATTTTAAGATATTACATTCATTTATTTTGTGGCTAAACACATCAACATTTGAGTGTGTGTGTGTGTGTGTGTGTGTGTGTGTGTGTGTGTGTGTGTGTGTGTATTTTACTGCATGGATCTGACAAGGAAAAGAAGCATTTGGTGTGAAAATGTGTGAGTTTGTGCATATGTACCGAGGCTGAGAAGAACACTGAAAAACCATTACCAAGTATGTCAAAGGGGAAGAGTGAAAATGCTTTGGGGATAAGAAAAGATCAGAGAGGGTTCACCCTACACTGATGCTGGACAGAAGAGGAAAGAAGCTCACTGACGGTATAAAACAGTCCACATAGATTGAAGAAATTGAGACTAACTAATATTAAACTCTGTATTAATAAATAAACACTAATGGCATCACTATGACTAAAACTTCCTAATACACAAGTTTGTTCTCAGTAACAAAGCCCTGCAGAATTCAGGGTCTCATCACGACATCTGCTGGACAAAAGTGTCACTGCAAAATTTAATGAGCTGTGGTGTGAGTAAACTTCATTAATCATCATAAACTGAAATTGTATTTTACTCAGTTAGCTATACATCTGTGATTTAGTTATTAAGAAAGTCAAGTGATTTTTTTCTTTCATGCCTCAGCCCACCAGGACCACACTGTTTCTCCGCTGTAATTGTTAATATACTTATTAGAGATTTGACACAAGAAAACTAATTCTGTAAAGATTATTTGCAGTTTATACAAGATTTTAGACAAATTACATTAAAATGTGCTTGTTACTGACAAAAGGTGTAGCAGCGAGTCCGCCACTGCATTCACAATTAGGAGACTTCTCATTTGATAATCTTATCTACTGCAACTTCAGTGTATGTTGGCTGGTGTAAAAAAAAATAATAATAAAACCACATACCTGAGTACATAGGAGGGGCGCAGCAGACAGGGATAGCCCACCTGGTTGGCGAAGGTAAACGCATCTTCCTGTGAAGGGACAGAAGAGTGTTACATTACATTAGACTGACACTGACTTTTATCCGAACCACCTTACAACTGCTATATATGTCAGAGGTCACAAGCTGACCCATCGAGGCATAGACTTCACAAGACCTCTGAAGGTGTGCTGTGTATCTGGCACCAAGGCGTTAGCAGCAGATCCTTTAAGTCCTGTAAGTTGTAAAGTGGGGGCCCCCATGCATCGGACTCCAGCACATCCCACAGATGCTCAATTGGATTGAGATCTGGGGAATTTGGAGGCCAAGTCAACACCTTGAACTTGTTGTTGTCTACCTCAAACCACTCCTGAATCATTTTGCTTTGTGGCAGGGCGCGTAGTCCTGCTGAAAGAGGCCACTGCCATTAGGGAATACCGTTTCCATGAAAGGGTGTACATAGTCTGCAACAATGCTTAGGTAAGTGTTAGGTGTCAATGTAACATCCGCATGAATGGCAGGACCCAAGGTTTCCCAGCAGAACATTGCCCAAAGCTTCAAACTGCCTCCACCGGCTTGCCTTCTTGAATAGTTCAACAAGATAATCAGTGTTATTCACGTGTCAGTGATCATAATTTTGACTTCTCTGTGTCTAACTTTTTAACTAAGATTTGAAACACATTCGATTGCTCCAAAACTTACAGTCACTGAGCTACAAATCATTTTAAGGCAGACGAGGAAGAACCATCATTCTAACAAACACAAAAGCAACAGAAAACAAAAAATTAATTATTTAGTAAGTATTTAGTAAAATGTGTATTAAATGGACGACACGAAATTGGTGTTAGGTGATGAAGCTTTCTAAGCCATGGCTCAACCAGTATGATGAAAGTCACAAAGAACAAACAAAGGATCAGTATCAAATCAAAGGTGTGTGTTTGCACTCAGCCTCGTCCCTGTAGTAAAAACTCTTTCATACAGCAAGCCCCATTTTAGCCATGCTCAATTCAGCCACACGCACAGAACTAATCAAAAGAGTAAAAGGGAGCGTAGAAGTGCTCTAACAGACAGAGGAGCTGCAATTCATCTCCCTTTCGATTTTCTTTTCTTCCATTCAGTTCACATGAGGAATGAGAGAAGAAAGACTAGCAGTTGTGGAGGGAGTCTAGCTTTGAGAGAAAGACGGTATGTCCTCCTCCTCCACCTTCTCATCATCATTATCATCATCGCTCTTTTTCTCTTCTCCGTCTCCGAGCAAGTCGAGCATTTTTCTCTCTATCATTACCCAGTGTGCACTCGCCAGGTGGAGTACCATTAACAAACACAAAACAGCCTCCCAGAGATGCAAGAACCATCTCCCCGCGGCTGTGCTAGAGTTATTTCAGCCCAATGAAAACAGTTTCTTCAAGATCGGCAGGGAAATAGAATATGTAGGTAGACTCTGGAGAGCACACAGAACTGTGTTTATCTATGTGTACCGGCTAATCGCCCTCAGTGGTTACTGAATACATGAGCGACGGTAATGGAAGAGACATATTTCAGAGCTGACATTTCAGTGCTCCTCGTGTTCTACAGAGGGGACTGCCAGAGCTTCATTGTGACTGAGCCACGGGTGAGTTGAGGGGCCAAACACAAAAAAGACGCTACACAGGACAGTAAGTAATATGGCACAGTGGCCTTTATGAGGAAGAAAGTTCTACAAATAATAACTTGTCTATAAGGAATGGTGTAGCTAACTAGGGCTGGGCGATATGGCCTAAAAATAAATCTCCGATTTTATTTACTTTAATTCAATTTACGATTTTTTCCGATTTCCCCCCTACTTAAGGAAAGCAATAAGGTTTGTTGGTCAGTGCGGCTTTGTTCATCGCGGAGAGACTGGCATTTTTCATATTCGGCTGGATGTCTCTGTTTCAGGTGTTGGAATAGGTTTGTGGTGCTGCTGCCTTTCACTGCGATAGGCTTTAGGCAAATGTTGCAGCGTGGTGTCTGTTGTTCCACATCTGTCGCAGCAAACCCATACCAGTTCCAAACAACAGATGACTTTATTCCTTTCTTGGGAACAAACTTCCCGCTCTCACCGGTAGCCATTTTGTCGCTTGCTGTTGCTGTTTAGTGTATGATGTTGTCGCTATGGGAAACGAACACTACGGAAACCCCGGGGAGCCAAAAATGTGCTATTACACAAAAACTCGATTTACTTATTTTTTAAATCGCCCGCAACAAAAAATTCGAATTAATTCATTCAATCGATTTTTCGCCCAGGCCTATAGCTAACCTAAATTAAAAGGCAGTGTTGTGTGTGTTTAGTGTGAGGTAGTCAAAACCAAAACAAAATACATTTTTGTAAATATATAAATAAAAATACTATACATAAACCCAATACGGAAAACCCAACTTTTAATTGTTAGTGATGTCATGAACCCTTGTTGGGACGTACAAGCATATGAAGTTATTTCAGGTTACACCTTACTTTATACAATAGGTTTTCATATAGGTTTCTGTGTATAATGCAAATATTAGACTTTCTTAAAGAAGATGCATATGTACACAAAACTAAATAAAATTATAAAAATTACCTAGATGGGAATGTCTTTTAGAAGCGAAACACATTTGCCTGAACTAAACAAACAGCTAACTAATAACTAACTTCAGTTACTCGGGGAAGTCATCCTTTTACTGTTTGTTTCCAAAAGACAGCCTGCAAAAACACCTGAGCGGTCAAATCAATTGAACCCTGAAGTTTACTGGTTTGGTGTGATATTATCTTAGAGTTAGAGGCCACAAAAAAACTCATTCTGATGCCGCTCCACTACACTCACACACCTTGTAAAGGAGAAATTTCTTAAGATCTTCTTAGCGAATTGTCACAACGTATATCGTGCTAAAATATATCATTAAACGCCCTTAATGTTCATTATTCTTTTGTTTTCTCTCACCAGGGAGCTAAGGGCCCTCCATGGGGCTTGGGCCACCCCGAGGTCATCCAGTATGTTGGAGAAGACGGAGCGTTCCTCTGCCCGGTCGATCTGCAGGGGGCTCGTCCCCAGAATCTTCACACCATTCAGGTGCAACGGGGCAGCCAGGTTGTTGGGGATCTGGCCTCCAACTGACACAATGCTGCCAGAGCAACCCTGGAGAGGAGAGGATGGGAAGAGAATAATGTAAGAATGCAAGAGGATAGGGCAGCAGGTAGAGTAAAAGAATGACAAGTGGAAGGAGGAGAAAGGACAGGAGAAAGGGAGATACTCTGTCAAGTCTTGGACCCCCTGCCACAGACCTATCAGCCAGATTAACGGTCTGTGGCCACTTCCAATTATTCTGGCCACTGATCACACAGTGAAAACACGAGACAAACAACAGTTGATCTCAGTTGTGCCCTGGGTTTAGTTTATCACCAGAGATGGAGTGTGTGTTTGTGTGGGTTCTTTTTGCAGCATGCAGCCCCTATTCCTGTCTAGCTGATCCAGGGGGATGCTGTTTCCATGGCAATGCCAGGTTGTATCACTTCATTATTCATGGGCCTGCTCTCCTGCTCCTGTCCAGGGTTTATCTCCATGCTCTAATGCCGTATTTATCACACACACACACACACACACACACAGAGAAAGCAAGAGGGGACTGTAGCTGTGAGAGAGGGATTGATGGTAATGCTATCACACTGAACAAACAAACACTTAATCACGCTCTGATCCCATCACAACTTTAACCGGATTAGAATTCCTCTGCAAGGGAAAGTCAATAGACATTGCTACGCACACACACACACACACACACACACACACCCACCCACCACAACATAAATACACGTAGATGTACACAGACAATATCAGGGTAACTATTCATACCCTTGAGCAGGTTTTGCAATCTTAAGGGTGAGGTGGGCTTGAGTAGCAATGGGATGTAAGGTGAAAAGTATGTATCATGTAGTCAGGTCATGTGTGTGAAATCACATCAGTTTCATATAACATAAAAAAAAACATCTTTTTTTCAACATTTTAGTTTGCACTGACTTTAACATTCATTTACACAGGAAAAGCGTGTTTTGTGATACTCCGTGATAGTAGCAGACTTACAGATGACATACCTCTGAATCTTCAATACAAGCTGCTAAATTATTATTTTTAGAGAAGTAAACTGGATACTTTTCCACAGTTTCTGTAAATAAAATCAACTTTTTTCTTCGTCATGACAGTTACCCTCATAAAATGACCCAAAAGCCTTAAAGTGATGTAAAACGACCTAAGAATATATTTACCCAAAAAACTATTTAGCAAGCACTTCCACATGATCTATGAGTGTCAGCAGGCCTCGAAAACCCATAAAAAACATCCACATACTTGTAACTGCAAAACCTTAGCTCTAAAATCTTACAAGAGTGGATCTAACATTGATCACTGAAAATATAAGTGTAAAACAATGGTAGTTGTGGCGTTTTGGGTTTTCAGTGGAGGGTTTGACAAAAATCTTTTCCTTAACAAAAACTTAGAGGCATATAGGTCATTCGTATGTATTTAGTTGGAACTTTCAGAAGTGGCATGTATCCATGTGTGTCCTAACCTCCTGTTGGGTGATGTCCAGAATGCGTTCCAGGGTCAACTCCTCAAAGTAAAGGCGGTCACACTCGTCAAAGTCAGTGCTGACCGTCTCGGGGTTGTGGTTGACCACCACCGTCTTCTTTCCCATCTGCCTCAAAGCTCTGATGCTTGACACCGCGCACCAGTCAAACTCTACACTGCTCCCTGGTGGATCGAACAGTTGGCCATAAACAGGAGTTCACAAATTTAGCATAAGAAATAACTGTGATAAGCTGCATGACTGTGACATTTGTCTTCCATGTAAATTATATTTTGTCTTCTGTTCATGTTTAAAGGTGTCGTGTGCAGACGTTTGTGTTTAGACCAAATGTTCTATGAACCCTAACACTTCCTGGACAACATCACTGTATTAGAGCAGATAACCAATCCTTGCCAATGCAGTGCAGCTTATATATGTAGTTTGTTTGAATGGCACTGGTGGAATTAACTTGTGGTTAAAACACTTGCTAATTATTATCATATTTATAAAAACTTGTATCTGACCAGCATGAAAATTATATGAAAGTGTATTGTTGGACTCACCAATGTGGTAAGGACCACAACCAAGAACCATAATTCCCTGGTCGTTAAAGTCCAGATCATGCTCCTGATAGATTGGATGAAATTACAAAACCATTGTTATTGATGCACTTTTGTGAACGTCTGTACATCTTTAGCACAGCAAAAAAAAACTCTTAAAATTAATATTAGTTATTTTATTCGTTTTTAAGTGTTTGAATTGGTTACGTACATAAATACATGCATCGTAATGGTACTATAATACTACATACTCCACCATGATAGGTACAATACAGGTAGTTGGTCATGGCCGGATACTCTGCTGCCAAGGTGTCAATCTGAGAAGAGGGATCAGAAACAATAAGAGGTTAAAATGAGTAATTCATTCAGATATAAAGTCATTCTTGTCCGCCACACTCCTACAAAGTACCAGTAATGTGCCATGTAAACCTGTTCACTACAATCACATACAAACTCCATACATAAAGACACCAGGCATCTTTAAGCAGAGTTCAGACCCAGGACCTTCTTGCTGTTAGGTGACAGTGCTCATTTGTAATGGTTTCTAAATAGATGATGTACTTTAAGTAGTATTCCTCTTTTCAGAGTGTTAATGAGTACATTTACTTTGGATACTTTTATTACATTATTATCTCAGTCTATCTGACCTTCGCTGACCTACGCTCCAAGAAGGAGCCCAGTGATGCTCACCTGTTTGACCCAGGGTCTGATGCCGTGACTGTGCCTCAGCTCTCTGGCTTCTTTCTCACTGGAGCCCAGAATCTGACCGACCTGTAGGTCTGAGAATCCGTCCTGCTTGGCCTTCAGCAGCAGCTCCTTAGGAACTGTGCCACTGTAGGAAAAGACAACAAGTAATGCTAATTATGCAGCTGTTTCGCAGCCATTCAGAACCCCATACAGTTTAAACATTGATTCTGTGGATTTCTTATTTATTAAATGAATAATCAACCAAATCCTGTCTCAAAGAAAAGTGCAAAAGATTCATTCTGGTACTACAAAATGGCAAAGTAGACATTAGCAGAGTCTGTCAATCGCCTCTTAAGCTTAAACGTTTAATGCACAACATTCCTGACATGAACGCAGTAGTGAGGAAAAAGAAACTACTGGGAAGGATGAAAAAAAAAAAGTTACTTTATTTTTTTTAAATGTTTTCCGTCAGTCCCTTTCTCATATATCTGTATCCACTGAACCAAGAGGGTCAATCCAGCAAGTGGGTCATGACTGGCTCGCCTACCCAGCGGTGTGGACTGCAGGGAACAACCCGCCTCAAAGCAATCAATAACAAATGGACAAACAAGGCGCCTAGTTGCCAGAGCATCAGGTTGGCAAGTGCAGCCATTTAAAACCCATTTTGATCAATAAAACTTTAGTGTGAGCTGTTTATCAAAACCATAAAAGACGTGAAGAAGAGGAGAGCTTTTTTTGTCATTTTTTTAAGAGTTATGTATTATTATCATTATGTATTTTTACATTTTACAATTTTACTGATTAATCAACAACATACATTGTATTGGCCATTGTATTGCTGATATGGTTTTGGCTTTATTTTCATATTCAAATATGACGATTCATAACGGTACAAGTCAGTACATTAACAAAAGACACCAGTATCAAGTAAATTACTGTGTGTGAAGCCTAGCTTAGCTCACAAAGATGGGAGGCTGGGCAAATAGCTAGCTTCTGCGCTAAGTGGAAAAGTACACGTTTCAAAATTGCATTATGTTTTTTTAGCAAGCTAGCCCACAATACAGCTAAACGTCAGCTGAGTTTTGCTCAGAGTTAGGAAAAGCCAGTAAGTTCACAGTGAGGACAAGACAAGTGATATTCTGGTGCAGTTACTGGACTCTGATTTGGCCATAAAATACAGTTCCAGTAATATTCAATATCTGCTTATCAAAACCATACTGAAATGTTTCTCTGTTCCTGAGCATGTTAAATTAACAAGATAGAGTGTGTAAATACAACATTTAAGGAGTTGTTGGAAGGCTCTTGACAGAGCTCAGCTAACTGTACCCTTTGCTTTCGGTGTGTGTGCAAAGTTAAACTAAACGCATTAATACATGGTGATAAAATTGATATTGATCTGCTCATGTAACTCCCACTAAGAAATCAACAAGCGTATTTCCTATGTCATAGCATTCCTTTAACCCTAGGTAAACACAAAATTAATTCCTATTTCTGCTAAACCACAACTTGCTCTCCCTCCTCCTTATCTGAATTATTTATGACCTTGTAGCGTAACAATATTGGAAATGTCAACTGTGTTTTAACTCCCACTGCACATGGCTGAGCTGAGAAATAACAAACACCAGAAACAACGAAAGGCGAGAGCAGCGTGAGTTCTTCTGAGTCAGGATCACAGAAAGGAAAGGAATTTGATCTGAGAGCTTGGTTGTCTTGTGTACATTTACTCCCACTGCAGGAGCTGTTTAAAGTGAGAGTGAAATACTTTGCATGCCATGAACTCATGTACATACACCCTCACACACACACACCTGAAACACAAAATACACATTAAGACAATGTGCGAGAGAAGAAAAGGGACTAACAGATTCTCATATATGCTTATAAAACACGCACATTCTAACTAAATTTTAATAATGGCAAGAACTAATTTCTGTTTTATTTCACACTTTTCATTTAGTTACATTTTTACTTAAGTTTGAACATTAAAATGGCACTTGTGTGCAGTATAATTGCTGACCTCACCAACTGAGTGAGTTCTTTTAATTGTAATTCATGTCACACACAGGGCTTGTGTACCTAATTATCTCTGTCCTCATACGCAGGTTTATAGTCAGGTTGTCATATTACTGAGTTCTGCGTTGTGCAATCAAACGTTAACAAAACAAATGTCTCTATGGAGGACATGGGAAAGGGTGCACCCAACATCCATCTGGTTTCGGACCAGTCTCACGTCACCAGATGCAAAAAAACTGATTTGTGTGTTTATGTCTATATGAGTAAATCTGATCATACCGTTTTTTTAAAGCTAAATGTCGATACAAAATGTGGAATATGGTACAGGAATAATATTGGTGCACCATCTACTTTGATTCCTGGTTCCTGCAATGAGAGGGTTAGACTTCTGAAGAAGTCATCTTGGACTTAAGGAAATTGTGATCTGTATTTCTTCGCTTTTTTGAGGATTTTTCTAATTTCTATCAATAATTATCTTTCCATCCTAAATAATGTCCTACAGCAGTATAGGATTCAACACTCCAAGACTCCTATGAGTCTGTTGACCAGTAGAGCCTGAAGCCCACCTGTACTCAGCTCTACGCTCCACCAGTCTGGCAGCAGCCTATTGTAGTGTGGCCATCCCAGTGTCCCCTGCTTCAGAGGCAATGGAGACTACAGTCTTCCATATGTCAGTGTGTTGAAGTGGGCGCCAACCAGACGGCCAGCCATTAATTATTAAACAGTAGAGTCTGAAGGAAGCCGCAGGTAACCTGTGGCTGAGCCATGACAATTCACAGTGGCTGTTCAGGTAAGAGCCCGAGGGCAGAGAAAGAAAGCAAAAAAGAGTGCGAGAGAGAACCATGGGAGAGAGACGTGAGGAGACTGGGGTCCATCTGATTTTTTAGGACCCAACATTTCCCCATTGAAGAAAATTCAGTCATTTCTAGAAAGAACTGTGTTTCTCCCAAATTCTATTTTTAACACAAACTGTGTTGTGTGCAGGAGAATATGGTGTATTTGAGGAAGCATCCTGCAGTTGGAGATGAGTGCAAGATTAAAAATTTTTTTTAAAACAAACAGTGCTGCATAGACAGGAATTACATTTATGTCTATATTTAATTAAATCAGATTTAGTTTCCTGAGATTTCCAGAACTCTGTGGACACAACTACTTGCAAGTAATACAAATGTTCATTAAGTGGAGTGTTGTGTACTGTGAAATGTTTGTATTTTGTCTTTTAATGCTACAAATGTGGGACACAAGAAGTTTTCCTATAAGAGCCAGAGTAACACAATGGTTAAACTAAATTTAAAATAAAATTAAATAAAATAAATACATAAGAACGTAGTTTCACTGCAGGATTTACAGAGTTGTGGTCAGACAATATTCAAATTAGCAGTGGATGACATATCTGTAGCAAAGTTGCAATATTAACCAGCAAACTAACAAAGTCCAGGGCAGAAATAATTGGACAGGTCACAAGGGGATAAATGTATATGACAAAAGAAAAGAGACTGACCGTGACAGAGCCCACTTCGGACCTAATAAGTAATTAGAATATATTCCATAAAATTATAATAATCCACAAGTTGCCTGCCTGTGGTGCTAGACTGCAACTTTAGGGTTGGATGGATGGATAGCATTTTGGAGGAGATAGAGAAAGCAGACAGATATGATAAAGTTATGTGTAACTTTTACCCTAGTTTATGAGGATGTCACATCACTCACATATAGGCAGAGACAGAAGTACTGACCAAGCATACATATTGATACACATAAAATACATAACATAAACATCAAATCATATAATTTAATTTCCTAATTCAACATTACAAAAAGTGCGTGTTGTTCCCCCCCGTGTGCATCTGTGTGTATGTTACCTGTTGTAGTTAGCCAGGTGCTTCTCCAGCTGTGTTATCCTGCGCAGTTTGTGGAGGAACCACTTGTCTATGGATGTCAGCTGGTGGATCTGATCAACACTCATGCCACTGTGGAGGGACTTAAAAGTGGAGACATGAAACAGACTCAGCGTTGCATTCATCCGTCATCATCATCAAGTTCATCATTCATGCCCCTTATTAGATGCGTATGATAAAAGAAATCATGCTACAACTCATTCAGCGAACCCTCACTGGATAGGAACGGTCATTCAGAGCAGTCACTGTAAATAATATGTTTTTATCCATTACTTGTTCAAGGTCTCTGAGTAAAATATATAACATAAGTAATTTATTACTTTGCCAGTATTGGCCTTTTATTAAAAATCAGATATCAATCTGTGTCATTATCCTGTAATATGACAGAGGCAGTGCCCTGACAACAGCTAGTAAATATGTTTTATCATTTTTATATTAGATGTCTGGCCAGAGAAATCACTCCAGGTTAGTGTGGGAGGATTTCACTCAGCAGTCTGTAAAAGCTACCTCACAATGATCTGCTAATCAAGCTGCAAGTGATTCTCACTGTTACTTTCAGTAGGGAGTTTCAGTGTGTTATGTAATTTGAGAGTCCAGATGCAAACGTGTTTTTGAGTGTTGATGCCTGAGATACAATACCAGAAACATATCAGAGGATTATATCAAATTTATAATCCTCCAGTATCTTTTTGCTACTTATCATAGCTTATGTCTAAATATCTTTTTAGGAGGGTGGGTGTGTCTTGTGGTCTCAGCTGTTTACATTTTTATGCTTTCCCCCAACATAACTACAAAATATTGTCTCAAATTGTCTGGAACAAAGGAGCATAGGTTTTGAAATCAAACTGGTGCGGACCAGAGAGGTTAGCTAAGACAGACTGTGCTGACCACCTTGAGGCATTAGAGCTGGTGTTGGATTGCCTGGAGATAAGATGTGGATCATTAATCCCTAATGCTGTCACCATCTTCAATGGTCTCACAGCATATTTAAAGGGGACAAATATATCTCCACTGCGAGGACACCAATCTCCCACAGTTGGAGGTTGCGACACTGACACGACCTCATTCTGATCTGTTCTCAGCTGGTGATAAAAGCATGTTGAAAGTGCTGGACCTGCAGATGTTTTTCACCTTGCAAAAGTGCTTTTCACCTTCATCTGATTCTCTAAGGTAAAATATCAGTATATATTGAGCAAGGACAGAATCAGACTTACAGATTTCAGATGATTTGATTTTGATTCATTCCCCTGACATTTGTACACATTTGAAAAGGCCATACTGTCGAAAGTTAGACATAAACCCTAGTTGTTCTGTGTGTTCCCCAAGTACTTTCTCGCCTCCTCCTGTGCATCTATTTAACTAAATCCAAATTTCAAAGACAAGCAATTCCACAGAATTTGGCATTCACAACTAGGCATGCAAGTAGGCCAGGGACACATTTTGCTGTACACTTCATGTTTTTTTCTCCATGATAATTACTCTGTTACACTACAAAATGTGATTTTAATGAGAAAACTCTAGTCAGTGTCATTCATTATTAACGTTATGAAAGGCTAGTATACCTTGGCGAGGGAGAAGATGCGGGTGATGGAGGGCACAGCCAGCTCCTGTTGCAGGTCCTGGGTGTCGGCCCATGCTTTCTTGAGTGGCAGCCGGGGCATGAAGCCATCCACTGATGGATGACACATCCTCAGGGCCTTTTGCATACTCTCCTCGAAGGTCCGGCCCACTGCCATCACCTGAATCCAGAAGAGGGAGATACATCACAGAATAATATGGGTGTGAAAGTCTTGTGAATAAACAAGTGAGTGAGTGAGAGTGCTTATCTGCGGATCCTCCCCCACCTCTCCGACACTCTTCATGGCACTGCCTATTTCATGGGACATGCCATGGAAGCGGTCCAGGTCCCAGCGGGGGATCTTGGTGACAATGTAGTCGAGACTGGGCTCGAAGCAGGCTGTGGTCTTCTCCGATACGGCGTTCTTGATCTCGGGCAGGGGGATACCCAGAGCCAGCTTAGCGGCGACAAAAGCCAAGGGATACCTGCGAGATCAAAATCAACTAGTGGTTGAAGTTTCTGTGACATAAGTATCATTAGCATGATCACACAGTAATGATTGATTAATGAATGGTGTCTTGTTGTATTTAATCCTAAACTTGGTCGTACTGGAAAGCTCCAAGATCTTTTTGAACAATTGTAGAAATCCTTCCCTGAATTAAAATCAAATTTATTTATATCTTCAGATATTATGTCATAGCACGTCCAGATGTCAGTCTGAGAATTCCAGTCCCACTGATGCGATACCAAGCACTACCTGTTCAGCAAACAACTGTGAGGGAAATAGAGTCAGTGTGTCTACAAGATGGACCAGCTGCAGTGTGATTTGAGAAGTGTCTTTGGACATCTTGATATCATGTTTAACAACAGAAACCTCACACTATTGAATTCCATTGTAACATTCATAAATTTAAGCGGATCTGTGTCACTTTCTCCATGAAGAACTACAAACTTTATCATGTAGGATATTTATATGCAACTGCCCACTTACTTGTGTGTGTTAATTTTTACTGTATGTATGCATGCATTTTATCTTGCATGTTTATGGACACCCCACATTCAATTTCTAAAACGACCAGCCAACTCACTATGTATTGTATTTATTCTTCCAGGTGGGTAAATGTCACATAGGCATACATATGGTCAGTAATGTAGATGTTCAATTTTGTGTATCGTTATCCATGTTACATATGTAGTTGGTAGTTATTTGCAGAATTTCGCAAGCTAGGTGTCCTACTAGGACGATTTGACACAAACTTGCAGTTTACGATGAGTGGTTGTCTGATTTTACCTGTCAAAACATGCCGAAGGGAGTCAGAATCAGAAGGTGCTTTATTGCCAAGTAGTGTTTTACATATAGGAGGAATTTGCAGTTGACAAATATATCTAGAAATATATAAATATGGAATAAACAATGCAAGTTATATAAGAATAATAAAAGAATAATAGAAAAAATAATACAACTATTTGCAGAAAAAGAACAACAATTCAGATATTTACATGTTCATTATTTAGGGTTTGTGTTGTACAGACGTACTGCCATGGAAGAGAATATTGTGTACATAAATATATAAATTGACAATATAAAAATATATAGAACAACAATTAACAACAAATATGTGCAATGTGCCATGTTTGTAATTGTATTAATTAAATAATATTTACATATGTAGAGACTTTTGTATTTTATGAAAGGGGGGAGTGTCAGAGGGGGACCTGGGCCTTGTTGATGAGGCTAGCTGCAGATGGGAAGATGTTTTGTGTTTTGGTCCTGATGGTCCGCAGCCTCCTGCCAGAGGGGAGAGACTGAAACAGTTTGTGTCCGGGGTGAGAGGAGTCAGCTGCAATCTTTCCTGCACGCTTCAGAGTCCTGGAGGCGTACATATCCTGAAGTGATGGAAGATTGCAGCCAATAACCTTCTGCGTAAAGCCAATAATTCGCTGCAGCCTGCCTTTGTCCCTGGCAGTGGCAGCAGCATACCAGATGATGATGGAGGAGGTGAGGATGGACTCAATGATGGCCGTGTAGAAGTGCACCATCATTGTCTTTGGTAGGCTGAACTTCTTCAGCTGCCGCAGGAAGTACATCCTCTGCTGGGCCTTCTTGGTGAGGGAGGTGATGTTCAGCTCCCACTTGAGGTCCTGGGAGATGATGGTGCCCAGGAAGCGGAAGGAGTCCACAGTGGCGACAAGGGAGTCACACAGGATGATGGGGGAGGGTGGGGCTGGGCTCTTTCTAAAAATCCACAACCATCTCCACTGTCTTCAGAGCGCTGAGCTCCAGACTTTTCTGGCTGCACCAGGTCACCAGACGGTCGATCTCCCACCTGTAGGCGGCACCTGGAGGTGCTATTAACTATTGGTGTACAGGGAGAAGAGATTGAAGAGGGGAAAGAACGCAGCCTTGAGGGAAACTTGTGCTGATCGTCCCGGAATCAGAGACATGTTTTCCCAGCTTCACGTGCTGCTTCCTGTCCGTCAGGAAGTCAGTGATCCATCTGCAGGTGGGGTCAGGCATGTTCAGCTGAGAGAGCTTGTCCTGCAGCAGGGCCGGGATGATGGTGTTGAAAGCGGAGCTGAAATCCACAAACAGGATCCTGGCGTAGGTTCTTGGGGAGCCCAGGTGCTGGAGGATGTAGTGAAGGGCCATGTTTACTACATCATCTACAGACCTGTTGGCTCTGTAGGCAAACTGCAGGGGGTCCAGGAGTGGGTCTGTGATGGATTTAAGGCTGGTCAACACAAGGTGCTCAAAGGACTTCATTACCACAGAGGTCAGAGCGACAGATGGTTTGGTTTTGGTTTGGTTTTTTGGGGACAGGGATGATGGTGGAGGCTTTGAAGAAGGCTGGCACATGGCATGTCTCCATTGAGGTGTCTGCGAACACCGGAGACAGCTGATCAGCACAGTGCTTCAGGGTGGATGGGGAGACACAGTTGCTTTGCGGGTCTTCTGCCTCATGACTCCTCCGCTCAGTCCACCAGAGCGGAGGAGTCATGAGGCAGAAAACCCTGGGATGGGGATGGTGTTCGATTAACTCTCAAAGCAGCAGTAACACTGGTTGAGCTCATTTGCCAGGCAAGAGTCATTGATGGAGTGAGGGGCTTTGGGTTTGTAGTTAGTGATCTGTCTGAACCCCCTCCAGACAGAAGTGGCATCATTTGCCGAGAACTGGTCCTTCAGCCTCTCTGATTACAGTCGTAGCTTCTCACACCTCCTTGCTAAACCTTTACTGTAAACGCCCTGCACCCGGCCCTATCTCCACTACTAAATGCCTTCTCCTATTCCAGCTGACTGAGCTTAGCTGTGAACCAGGGTTTGTCATTGTTATAACTCAATCTGGTGCGTGTTGGTATAGAGCTGTCCTCACAGAAGCTGATGTAGGACATCACAGCCTCTGTAAACTCATCCAGATTGTTGGTAGCAGTCCTGAAAACATCCCAGTCAGTGCAGTCCAAACACACCTGAAGATCCTCTACAGCTTCACTGGTCCACTTCTTTGGTGTCCTCACCACAGGTTTACAGAGTTTTAATTTCTGCCTGCATGCAGGAATCAGGTAGACCGTGTGTCCCAGTGGAGCGCGGGGCACGGTGTGATAGGCACTGAACTGTGGTGTTCTCCTCTCTGGTTGGATGCTTTATAAACTGTCTTCTTGGCAGAGGTTTCCTTTGTTAAAGTCACCAAGAACAATAACAAGGGTCCTGGTTTGTCTGCTCCACACATAGTATCCGGTCAGCCAGCATGCGGTGTTGCATCGTGCATGTTGGCCTGCGGCAGACTGTAAACACCGACCAAAGTGAATGAAGCAAATTCACCAGGGGAGTAAAACGGTTTGCAGTTAATGATAAAATATTCCAGATCAGGAGAACAGTGCGGCTCAATTACTGTCACGTCGGTACACCAGCCATTGTTAATATACAAACAGATGCCTCCACCTTTTGTTTTGCCAGAGAGTTCTGTGTCGCGGCCCGCTCTGTACAGTTGGAAGCCTGCAAGCTGCAGTGTCCGGTATCAGTCCACACAGCCACGTCTCCGTGAAGCACAGAACAGAAGATGAATAAAAGTCTCTGCTTTTCCCCACCAGTTGCTGAAGGTCGTCCAGATGTTGCACAGTGTGCGCACGTTGAAGAGAAATATTGCCGGTAGCGGTATGCGGAGTCCCCAAATTGTTTTTTACTGGTAATGATAAGAATTGTAATAAAATGACATAAGGAGCACTTTCGATACCCCCTACAGCTTGGATGTCCTGAGATCAAAGCTAAAAAATAAGGGCGATAGAGCCTTTGCAGTGGGCGGCCCCATCCTATGGAACAGCCTCCCCCATGCATATTAAAGCTGCACAGACCTTACAAATGTTTAAATCGCTGCTTACGATGGACCTTTTTGCAGTAGCTTTTAACCTTCCTTAACCTGGTTTCTCATTTTTTTTAAAGTGTTGTTGTTTTTTTCCCCCTGTGATTCACTTTGGCTGTAGTAATGTTATTATGTATTTGACATCCACCCTGTTCAGCACTTTGGTCAGCTGTTGTTTTAAATGTGCTATAGAAATAAAATTGACATTGACATAGCATAGGTCATTTTTAATGGCCTATACATAACAGCCTATTGTATGTTTATTGTGATTCTGTTAGCTTATTAATTTAAAATGGAATTATTTAGTAAATGTATGGTTATTACTCTATTTTGATATATCGAGATTTTAATAATAATAATATGTGATTCTTGTATTATATTGTTATTGTTTAATATTGTCATTTGTATTGTTCCAACTAAGTTTTGTTGGCAGTTAATAAGAACTAGAAAAACCACTGAGGACCAGCCAACTCACTGTATTTTATTTATTCTTTAAGTATAAAATAATTTCTAAAATATGTCTCTATGACAGCTTGCACTCTGTAACGTCACCCTACAGTGGATGAGTGTTTGATAGTCGTAGAATATTCATTTAAAACAATATTCTCCGTCCACAGCACACAGTTTGCTTCTGTTATCACACCACTGCAGCACAGCCACAGTTTGTGAAAGTCAATCAACCAGTCTGATATAATTTGGTGTCATTTCAACTTTCTTTAAAACCAGAAACCTGTATGTCTGAGCTTAACTGATCTGGCCTAATAACCACTTTCTGTGGAAAAGTTCATCAGACACACAAGAGATAGATATATAGATATCTATCTCTTGTGTGTATATATATTTGACTTTCCAACACGTTGTCTTACTAGCCTTCTAGAAGTGTGTGCCTTCTGTTTGTATACATGTATTCTCTCACCCAGTGGCTTTGGATGCCAGAGCGGAGCTTCTGGAGAGCCGGGCATTGACCTCAATTATACAATACTCCAGGGAGGACGGGTGTAGGGCATACTGGATGTTGCATTCGCCTATAATGCCAAGGTGACGAACCACTTTGATGGCCGTCTCACGGAGCATGTGGTACTCCTCGTTGGACAATGTCTGGCTCGGTGCCACCACTATGGAGTCACCTGAAGAAAAAGAAGAAGAAGGTGAAGGATCAGGACTAGTAGCGTCTTTAAACAGTAATAATGTTCTCGGACTTGGTTTCGGTTAATGAGAAAGATGCAGAGACAGAGAAAACACAGGATGATATTGTGCTGACTGTGTTGTAAAAAAAAATTAGAAACCATCAGCTGAATAAACACCACATAAAGCAAAAACAAAACAGAGAAATAATTTTTACTTTGATGACAACAGAATACAAAAAGCAAGCAGAACTTAATGTATGTGTGCATATTGTAGTACCTGTGTGAATGCCCAGTGGGTCGAAGTTCTCCATGTTGCAAACGGTGACACAATTATCAGCCACATCTCTCACCACTCATATTCCACTTCCTTCCAGCCCATTAAAGACTTCTCCACCAGGATCTGACTGCTCATGGCTAGAGCCTAAAATAAGCACAGAATAGACAATAATGTGAAGACCCATACAATATAATTCAATACAATAGCTCTGCAATGCATCTAATACTTATTACCAATGGTTAACATTATTTCTTATAAAACCGTAATGAAATCAAAATGGGTGTAAGTAATAACCCTGACATTGACAGGTCTTGAGCAATCGTCTGAATGTACTCAAAAAACATTTAATCACAGAAAATAACATTGAAAACAGATTGGGTGACTTATTGGGCAATAACTACTCCGCAGAAATAATTAACACTGAGAATGTGTGGGTTGAGAAACCACAGTTACACATTTCGAAACACTGAACCTGTTAACATGGTTATTTATTTAGGAACAATGATATCTGCTGCAAGGAGGTTTAATGAATCTTACACAGCTTCACAATTTAGCATCACAATAGTCTTTAGATTGCACTGCCCAAATTTGTTGATCTGATAATCCTCTAAAAGGACTTCGTTAAAGTACTGAGACTCTAAATTGCATATTCAATTCAAAATGGATAACTTCTTGTTACGTTTAGGCTACATCTCCAAGAGTTTAGTTTTTAGATATTCAAAGGGGGGGCTTGTTGAAATTTGTAGGGGGCGTCAGTGAGCCATTTTTCCACACCCACACCCCAGAACCATATCAGACGACACAATCCAACCCTTCTCAC